GTGGCAGAAAAGGTCTGGAGGTGGAAAGGCAGTCTGGCTTTTTGGACGGGTGGTCTTTTCCAGCAGGTGAGATTTCTGAGAGAGAAATCACCCACCTTTCGCACCGACGCTCCTGCCTTAACCCCCTTTTCTCAGCCTGAAGCCACCATTCTCCAGATCTCAAACGAGCTGCTTTTTCAGCGGAGATTCTTTAATATCCCAGCTGTTGTCTCCATTGGGTTTGAAATCGTTTCTGCAAGCGTTTTACCCCTTTCTGTATATTTAACGGTGTTCAAGTTGTTTGTGCATCCGCAGTGGTTTCCTATACAGTATGTTTTTTCCCTAATGGTTTTGAAGTGCAGGAGAGAGAGGAGGGATGAATCCTGCAATCCTGAGGACCACCAGGCGTTATGGTGGGGAGGGCGCAGTCCAAACATTGCCTTGCAAAGCCAGGATTGGAGACGAGCCACGAAAACATCTCTCTCTGCCTCTCCGGGCAGCGCAGAGAGAATCCGCCATCGATGGCCCTCCTGGACGCATCTTAGAGCAACAGGTCTGGCTGGAATCTGAAGCAACAGCCTTCCGGGCTTCCCAACCGAGTCCGGTCTCCATCGCAGGCCAGGCCTCTCCGCCAAACAGGCTCCCTCTGTGCCTCTCTGCTCTCTGACGCTGCTGCAATCTTGGCCTGCGAAGCGGGACGTGGGTGGCTTTGCTCCTACTCCAGCGGCGCTCTGTTTGCCGGGAGGCGGAGGGGGGCTCTGGGGCTGCCAGGCCAGGGAGCCTGTGGGTGGGTGGTCCCCCTGCGTGGAGGCCTCCCTCCCTCCCTGCTTCCCTTCTCCTGCCTGCCTGAGGGCAGCTGCTCAGCCATCTTTCCATGCACAGAAGGACAGTGCCTCTGTCTCTCTCTCTCTCCTTGGTACTGGGAATTTGAAACTTAGCAGCATAAGAAGAGTGCACGGATCAGGGCAGTGGCCCATATCTAGTCCAGCATTCTGTTCTCACAGTGGCCAACCAGGTGCCAGTGGAAAACCAGAAAGCAGCATCTTTTTGTTTTATTTTCTGCTCTGCACGTTTTTTAAAATAGTTTTATTATTATTATTAATTATTATTTATACCCCACTCATGTGGCTGAGTTTCCCCAGCCACTCTGGGCGGCTCCCAATCAAATGTTAAAAACACTACAGCGTTCCATATTAAAAACTTCCCAGGGCTGCCTTCAGATGTCTTCTAAAAGTCTGGTAGTTCTTTATCTCTTTGACATCTGGTGGGAGGGCGTTCCACAGGGTGGTAGTCACCACCAAGAAGGCCCTCTGCCTGGTTCCCTGTAACCTCACTTCTCGCAGGGAGGGAACCGCCAGAAGGCCCTCGGCGCTGGACCTCAGTGTCCGGGCTGAACGATGGGGGTGGAGACGCTCCTTCAGGGATACAGGGCCGTTTAGGGCTTTCAAGGTCAGCACCAACACTTTGAATTGTGCTCGGAAACGTACTGGGAGCCAATGCAGATCTCTCAGAACTGGTGTTATGTGGTCTCGGCGGCTGCTCCCAGAGACCAGTCTAGCTGCTGCATTCTGGATTAATTGCAGTTTCCGGGTCACCTTCAAAGGTAGCCCCACATAGAGCGCGTTGCAGTAGTCCAAGCCGGAGATAACTAAAGCATGCACCACTCTGGTGAGACAGTCTGCGGGCAGGTAGGGTCTCATCCTGCATACCAGATAGTAAACAGCTGCCCTGGACACAGAGTTAATCTGCTCCTCCATGGACAGCTGTGAGTCCAGAATGACTCCCGGGCTGTGCACCTGGTCCTTCAGGGGCACAGTTACCCCATTCAGGACCAGGGAGTCCTCCACACCCACCCGCTCCCTGTCCCCCAAAAACAGTACTTCTGTCTTGTCAGGATTCAACCTCAATCTGTTAGCCGCCATTTCAACAATTTCAACATAACAAATTATCAAAACAAGTCATCTTCATTATTTCCCCCCTTTTTTCCACCTCCCCAACAGACCCTCCCTCTCCCCCCCTCAAGACTTCCTTTAGCTCTTCTCTTCGGTTTCTCAACTCACGTTAGTCTCTGTAAAATTGTATACATCCTTATATTATCTATCTACTGTATTAACCCTCAATAAATTTTGTGTACGTTTATTCAAAACCTGCCAAGGAGTCCAGTTCATTTTGCTGTCTTTTTAAATAATTTGTAAAAAAGTTCCCGTTCTTCTTTAAAGTCACAGTTGTCCTTATCTCCGCAGCTGCCAACTTTCAGATTTGAAAATAAGGGATCAGCAGCCTTGAAAATAAGGGATCAGCCGCCTCACCTGTCCCGGGGACCGTCTACGGGATATCTAACAATCCAGGATAGCAGGGGGAAACGGCGCTGGAATAAGGGAATTTCCCATAAAAAAAGGGAAGGTTGACAGCTATGCCTTATCTCGCAATTTGTATGTCAGTTTTGCCAGTTCTGCATAGAGCCTGAAAGCAGGATCTGAGTGTTAAGTTGTGGGCGAACATATCAGACGACACAGCGATTCTTCAAACAACTCTTGTTTATTCAGAGCCCAGAACAGAACTGAACTGAAAGGTTCAGTCAGCCTGCTTATATAGAGCTCCAGTACAACGTTACTGTAACAATTTTCTAAAACTATCCAATCACTGAATGTCACTTTCGATCCCTTATTTGCATAACTATCTACAGTATCCCCCTGCTGGCCCAGGGTGAGAACTTCAGTACATAACACTGCGCACAAGAGCAATTTTCCCCACCTGTGGTTTCCAGCGACTGAGAATCAGAAGCATCGCTGCCTCTGGCATCTTTTTATTTGGTCTGGGAGGAATGTAGGCAAGTGCCATGCCTTAGCCCCGCCCAGTCTTGCCTTAGGCCCCGCCCACCACCCACCAGCTGTCCCCAGAAGTCCGCCCGCTAGGGAACACAGCCCTTGGGCTTAAACCCCCGTCCCTCACCTTGCATACATTGGATTCAAGCGGCCTTCCTTACCCTCGAACCCTCCAGACGCTGGGGAACTGTAGCTGATGGGAACTGTGGCGCAGAACCTGTGGAGGGCACCAGGTTGAGGAAGGCTGGATGAAAGGAAAGCCAAAAGCCGACAGGGTCACACACAGTGTACGTTTATTCTCACAGAAACGCAGCACCACACTGAACAGAACATGTAAAATTCAACAGCGACGGTGTCCTCTGTTTTGAAAAATAATTGACCCATCAAAGCCCCAAGGTCCACATAACAGAGAAGAAGGGGGTTAAGCTCCGGTTGAGTTTTGCAATGTCTTGGGAGCCCAGGAAAAGTGTAACAAAAAGGCTCACAACCAACCAATGGGTGGTATAACAATAATAATAATAATTTATTATTTATATCCCGCCCATCTGGCTGGGTTTATAAGAAGGCAGTTTATATACAGTCATACCTCGGGTTACAGCCGCTTCCGGTTGCGTCTTTTCGGGTTGCGGACCGCCGAAACCCGGAAGTCCTGGAACGGGTTACTTCCAGGTTTTGGCAGTCGCGCATGCAAAGAAGTGCCGAATCGCAACCTGCGCATGCGCGGGTTGCAAACACTGCGGGTTGCGAACGTGCATCCCACACAGATCACGTTTGCAACCCAAGCGTCCACTGTGCTGCCATCAATGTGCACAGCATCGTGAAACATACGACAACAGCAACCAATGATCCCCCCTTTTTGTGTTAATTATTAGATAGGGAGCGCCACAGAGTGGCAACAGAAGGAGGGGAGGAAGGTGTTAGGGAAATGAGGGATTAAGTTGAAGAACTATATTATTATTATTATTATTATTATTATTATTATTCCCATTGGCTATTTGCTGCCCAACTCGGTGAGGTCAGTGAGATGAACATTCTCGCAGCCGGTCGGATAATCTGTGGCTGGCATCTTTGCTTCCCCCAAAATCCCCACGGGTGCCTCGCACGTTGCCAGTTTTGAAAATTCACACTGCATGAAATACGACGCACAGAAGAAGACTCCATACGCCAGAAGATCTTCTTGGGAAACAACAACAACGACGACAAAAGGCATCCAGAGTGTCAAAAGATACAGGCACTGGGCTTGAAGAACAGGTCCCATGGGTGAAATCCAAAACATTCAATATACATTCAATCACAGCGAAATAAGCCCTGGCAGGTGGTCATCTGACCTCCCCAAAACCTCCCAAGGCAGGAGAGTCCAGAATCTGCAGAGGGAGACCATTTTATTATAAATAGCTCTTACCATCAGAAAGTTCTTCCTAAGGTTTAGTTCAGGGGTAGGCAACCTAAGGCCCGGGGGCCGGATCCGGCCCAATCACCTTCTCAATCCGGCCCACGGACGGTCCAGGAATCAGCGTGTTTTTACATGAGTAGAATGTGCCCTTTTATTTCAAATGCATCTCTGGGTTATTTGTGGGGCATAGGAATTGGTTCATTTTTCCCCAAAATATAGTCCGGCCCCCCACAAGGTCTGAGGGACGGCGGACCGGCCCCCTGCTGAAAAAGTTTGCTGACCCCTGGTTTAGTTGAAATCTCCTTCCTTGTAACTTGACTCCACTGGGTTCCGGAGCGGCAGAAAAAAAGCTCGTTCCCCTTTTCCATGTGACAATCCCAGGCAGTTCTCTTCTCCTGAAATTCCTGGCCCACCCTCTTCCCTAATATTTCCCCCCCTTCTGCATTTTTTGGGGGGTGGGCGGGAAGGTCACCCTACTACTGAGACCGCCTCAGAACAAGGGAGACTGCCTTAAAAGCACCCTCAGGGTCCTCAGTCCTTTTCCAAGAGCCCCTCCCTCAAATTTAATTAATTTATTAAATTTGTATCTCAACCTAAACCTGTAGATCCCAGGGTGGTTCATGCCACAAATTCACAATATAAAAAAAGACAAAATGCATGATGAAAAGAAGAACAGAAGCAAACCAAAAGCACATTTAAAAGGGATGAGAGTATGGGTGGAGCAGGGGACAAATGGACCCCACATTTGTTTATTTAAGCCATTTTCATAAACCACTTAATAAAATAAAATGTCTAAGCAGTGTAAATAAAACAGAAAAATAATTTATTAGTAACGTACAGATGAAAAAGCAGAATTTAGAAACAAGTATACACAGCTAAACGATGTACCCAGGTTTGCTGAAATAACTGTTTAAAAGGTTTCAGCTCAATCTTGTGAGAAAATATATATATATATATATATGTATGTACGTATATGTATATGTATATATATGGCAATGTTTTATTTTGTGGTTTTGTAAACCGCTTAGAGCTTGTTGTTTTTCAAACAGTCTGGCAGTGTTGAATGTTGTTAAATAAAATAAATAAATCCCTAAGGCCCCTCCCAGGTTGAGGAACCATTTCCCAACCCTCCAATTTTCTACCTACGAAGGCGCCTCCGCCATTTTGAAAACCGCCCTTGCCAATTTTGACATTGTGCCGGGAGCTTCAGCCAAGTGGGCGAGGCTCCCGGCTTCAGACATTGCCCCTTCCTTGACCCGTGAGGGCCATGGGGCGACGGGAGATGCTAAACCTGTGGCCCGCCAACCTTCGCCCTGAAGAGGACACTACAGACAACATGGCAACGGCGAGGTAGGTTTTACCGGAGTTTACGGGACGAGGTCACTTCCTGTGGGGAGCCATCTTGGATCCCAGGGAGACGGGCAAGGGTTTGGTCCTAGCGAAGGCCGTTCCACTGTTTCCCTGCTTCTGATGAGGCATCTCTTGGTCATCTTAGACCTCTCTTACCCATTGGTCTGTTACATTCATGTTGCCTCCATTTAAGGTTCAGGTTTTCCTCCACTCCAAGATGACCACTTCCATTCCCCCTGTGGCTTAGCTGCAGTTTGGGGAGGGTTCTCCTTTCCAGGTACAGTGGTACCTCTGGATGCGAACGGGATCCGTTCCGGAGCCCCGTTCACATCCTGAGTAAAATGTAAGACGTGACTGCGCGTCTGCGCGTGCCGCGTTTTGCTGCTTCCGCGCATGACATCATTTTGAGCATCTGCGCATGCGCGAGCGGCGAAACTCGGAAGTAACGCGCTCCGTTATTTCCGGGTCGCCGCAGAGCATAACTTGAAAACGCTCAACCTGAAGCACATCTAACCCGAGGTATGACTGTACAGTGGTACCTCTGGTTGCGAACGGGATCCGTTCCAGAGGCCCGTTAGCAACCTGTAAAGAACGCAACCCACGTCTGCACATGCGCGGGTCACAATTGTCCGCTTCTGTGCATGCACGTGACGTCACTTTGCACGTCTGAACATGTGCATGCGCGAGCGGCGAAACCCGGAAGTAACCCGTTCTGGTGCTTCCAGAAACCTGAAAATGCTCAACCTGAAGCAAATGTAACATGAGGTGTGACTGTAGCTCCGACCCCCCATTGCTGGATCAGGTTGGGGCCAGGAAAACCCCACAGCATTTCCATTTTGTTGAGGACCTTAGGGGACGCAGGTGGCGCTGTGGGCTAAACCACAGAGCCTAGGACTTGCCGATCAGAAGGTCGGCGGTTCGAATCCCCGCGACGGGGTGAGCTCCCGTTGCTCTGTCCCAGCTCCTGCCAACCTAGCAGTTTGAAAGCACCACAAAGTGCAAGTAGATAAACAGGTACCGCTCCAGCGGGAAGGTAAACGGCGTTTCCATGCGCTGCTCTGGTTCGCCAGAAGCGGCTTAGTCCTGCTGGCCACATGACCCGGAAGCTGTACGCCGGCTCCCGCAGCCAATAAAGCGAGATGAGCGCCGCAACCCCAGAGTTGGTCACAACTGGACCTAATGGTCAGGGGTCCCTTTACCTTTATGGGACCTTATCGAGGCAGTGGATGCTTTTCATTTTTCCGGGTCAGGGCAAAAAGGGTTCTGCTTTTCACAAGCACCGGGGGGCTCGATCAGAGTGAGGGCACCCCACCTCTCAAAGACACTTTGGTCCTGCCTGTCTCCTGTTCCCTTTAAGAAAGTTAAACCAGGGGAGTTGGTGGGGGCAGGAACACATTCCTGATATATTACAAAGTTGGCGCATCGTTGGCAAAGGACAGGTTGAGGGTTCGAGAAGGCACCTTTCCTCCCCAGTTGGAGGGAGCAGGAGGCAAGTAGGCCCTTGGTCAACGCCCCAACCTGCCTGCCCCATCTTTGCATCCCAACGAAGCAGCCAAGAACCATGGCGAGCTCCGGCCCAGAGTTCAAATCCAGCGGCTCCCATCTCAAGCCATGAGAAGGAAAATGCAGGTGGAGATTGGTCTCCTGACAGCACCGACTCTTTACCTTCCTGTCCTCTGCTGGAACTCTTTAAAAGAAATAAAAAACCTTCGCATCTTGGGGGGGAAGAGCATGTTTTCAAGTTTCCTGCAGAGTTTCAAAGCTGGGAGGTGCTCATTTCTCTTCTAGGGCTAACAAGGTTCCTTCAAGATATTCCTTGCAGGAAGGAGCTGTTTTCAAAAGACCCGCCTGGAATGGCTTAGGCAATCCAATCAAGTGGAATGAGGTCACTTCCTGTGGGCGCCATCTTAGATCCCAGGGAGACGGGCACGGGTTTGGTCATAGGGAAGGCCACAAATAATACATTTCTTGTTTCTTATTTCCCCGCAAGGAAGTCCTTTCAGTACCAAAGGTCGGCTCGGTGTTGCTGGTTGTAAAGCAAGAGTTTAATCTGGTCTCTGATCTGGTTGACAAGCACCTGGGAGAGCAGGATCCCGACCAGCTGCAAGAGGAAAACAAAACACAGACGGAACAGGACTGTGAGCACGGCAAAAAGGGAGACGGCTTTAAACGGAGCTTCTGGGCGGCGGTGGACACTTGCCAGGCTGTAAACAAACCTGGTGGGCAAACTTTGCATCCCTGGTGCAATGCCCTCGCAAATGGAGGGCATTCCGCAAATGGGGAGCCACCACCAAAAAGGCCCTGCCATGGGGCAACGCCAGCTGGTGCCCCACCATGGTGGAAGCAGCTCCCAAGCATTGCCTGCAGACTGTAGGGACCAGGGGCCCCCTGGGCCACCCTGAAACAACAGCCACGAGGAGGGGGCAAGCCGATTACCTGGGGAATGGCCAATCCCAGCGCTACTCCGCCCAGGAGGAAGAGGTTGCTGTGGATCCAGTTCACCAGCTTGTCAATGCAGCCGTTGGTATAGATGAACTCGCTGGCCTCAAGGTAGTTGAATGCCTGCATCCCTTGGCCACACATGGTGTTGATGACTGACTGCATGGGAAGAAGCGTGTTGGAGAAAACAATAACTTCATAAAATTGTATCGAAATTAAATTAAATTAATTAAACTGAATTAAAACAAATTTAATTTAATTTAATTTAAATTAAAACAAAATTAAAAGGCGCCTGCTTCTTGGGAGAAAAGCAATGACAAACCTAGGCAGCAAATTAAAAATCGTGGAGGGGGGTGGAATACCCCATAAAAGCCATTAAATTCCATTACAAAGTTCAGAATGACAGTATATATCTCAATTAAGGAGCATGTATCTCAATTAAGCAATGACAAACCAAGGCAGCATCTTAAAAAACAGAGACACCACCTTGCCGACAAAGGTCCATATAGTTAAAGCTATGGTTTTCCCAGTAGTGATGTATGGAAGTGAGAGCTGGACCATAATAATAATAATAATAATAATAATAATAATAATAATTTATTATTTGTACCCTGCCCATCTGGCTGAGCTTCCCCAGCCACTCTGGATGGCTTCTAACAAAATAATAAAATACAGTAATGCATCAAACATTAAAAGCTTCCCTAAAGAGGGCTGCCTTCAGATGACTTCTAAAAGTCTGGTAGTTGTTGTTCTCTTTGACATCTGATGGGAGGGCGTTCCACAGGGCGGACGCCACCACCGAGAAGGCCCTCTGCCTGGTTCCCTGTAGCTTTGCTTTTCGCAGCGAGGGAAACGCCAGAAGGCCCTCAGAGCTGGACCTCAGTGTCCAGGTAGAATGATGGGTGTGGAGATGCTCCTTCAGATATACTGGACCATAAAGAAGGCTGATTGCCGAAGAATGGATGCTTTTGAATTCTGGTCTGGAGGAGACTCTTGAGAGTCCCATGGACTGCAAGAAGATCAAACCGATCCATTCTGAAGGAAATCAGCCCTGAGTGCTCACTGGAAGGACAGATCCTGAAGCTGAGGCGCCAAGACTTTGGCCACCTCATGAGAAGAGAAGACTCCCTGGAAAAGACCCTGATGTTGGGAAAGATGGAGGGCACAAGGAGAAGGGGACAACAGAGGACGAGATGGTTGGACAGTGTTCTCAAAGCTACCAGCATGAGTTTGACCAAACTGCGGGAGGCAGTGGAAGACAGGAGGGCCTGGTGTGCTCTGGTCCAGGGGGTCACGAAGAGTCGGACACAACTAAATAACAAAAAAAATTGTATCGTTTGATGGTTCAGTTTTCTTTTGCGTCACTGGCCTAGCTGAACTAAAAGGGCCTGTCCCTGCCTTTTACGTTACAGAACTAGCTGCTTTTAGGTACTGTCTGCAGCGAATGGTGGCTCCAGAACACTGAAAAGAATAAACTGTTAGAATCTGTCGTGGTCGTTGTATGCATGAAAAGAAAAGCCGCTAGGCATAGCATTTATGATTAGTCTTGAACTGTTTTGTACACAGATGAAATAGGACATTGGAAGACTTTGAATGAACAGGAAAATTAGTTAAAGTCTAATCCAATTAGTCAAAGCCAAATGATTTTGATGATGATGGTGGTAATAATAATTTATTTACACCCTGCCCATCTGGCTGGGTTTCCACAGCCACTCTGGGCGGCTTCCAACAGAATATTAAAAACACGACAAAACACCAAACATTAAAAACTTCCCTAAAGAGGGCTGCCTTCAGATGTCTTCTAAAAGTCAGGTACTTGTTTATTTCCTTGACATCTGATGGAAGGGCATTCCACAGGGTGGGCGCCACCACTGAGAAGGCCCTCTGCCTGGTTCCCTGTAACCTCACTTCTTGCAGGGAAGGAACTGCCAGATAAATTATCATTATCATTATTATTAGTAGTAGTAGTCATAGTAAGGTAAAGGGACCCTTGACCATTAGGTCCAGTCATGGCCGACTCTGGGGTTTTGGCCCTCATCTCGCTTTACTGGCAGAGGGAGCCGGCGTACAGCAGGGACCGAGCAACAGGAGCTCACCCCGTCACGGGGATTCGAACCGCCGACCTTCTGATCGGCAAGTCCTAGGCTCTGTGGTTTAACCCACAGCGCCACCCGTGTCCCAATAGTAGTAGTAGTAGTGGTGGTGGTATATTCCTTCTGCTTCTGAAGATTCTCTTTCTACCGTGTTTCCAAATGGATCGGATGTGTGGCTCTACGACATACCTGGTCGTCAGTTTGCAGGCAACAGGAATAAGGCACAGAGCAGCGTTCCCAGCTGGGGTTGTGGGCCGTGCAGTTGAAATACAGGTTTTGGGACCAGTCTTTATAGGAGACGCCACCACAGCAGCTGAACTGCAAAGGGAAGGAAGAAAAGGAGTTAAGGCAGAGGAGCTGGACGGAAGCAGGCGTCGGAAATGGTCCCCAACGCTTCCCCTTCCCTTTTCAAACATAAAATATTTTGAAATCTTTCATATAGATATATAGCGAAACATCCCACCCAAACGCAGAAGCTGGTGTTTAGGCAATACATACAAAGCAACAGCCAAATAACAGTTCTTATCTTTTTGTGCAGAGGGCAACAGAACAGTTTTAAGTTAACCAAAAAGTTCTATACAGTGGTACTTTGGTTCTCAAACTTAATCCGTTCCGGAAGTCCGTTCCAAAACCAAAGCGTTCCAAAACCAAGGCACGCTTTCCCATAGAAAGTAATGCAAAATGGATTAATCCGTTCCAGACTGATGGTAGGCACTGTTTGGATGGGCGGGGGGCGCTTTTATCCATTTCTGCAACCACACAATCAATCAGTCTGTAGCTGAACTGGGTTTCATACAGTCACAAAAACAAATTAACCGAAAAAGCCTCAAAAACAAAAACACAAAATAAATAGCAAAAGCAAAAGCGCCAAACTGAATCCATTCCGGAAGTCCGTTTGAATTCCGAAATGTTCAAAAACCAAGGCGCAACTTCTGATTGGTGCAGGCGCCCCGGAAATAATAGCCGACAGCCGCTTCAGACGTTCGGCTTCCGAGAAACGTTCAAAAACCAAAACACTTACTTCCAGGTTTTCGGAGTTTGGGACCAAGGCGTTTGGGAACTAAGGCATTTGAGAACCAAGGTGTCAGTGTTGTGTGTAGAGTCCTCTGTGCGCATTTTTAGTCGTGCAAATAATAAAACTGTGACATTCGATCGCAAAGGAGCTCTTGTGTGTCGGGCCCATTTGATTTCATCATTCAATGTTTCCACATCTTCCGAAGTACCCACTTGCCTGAGAAGTTATTCTCTCAAGTTATTCCATTGCTTCTTATTATTACAAGCTTGGCCGCTAGCAGGGTTTTTTTGTATCTTGCTTCTCTATGTTGTGAACCATAATCTACAGTTGGAAGGGCGGCATTCAAATTTAATTTTTTAAAATAAAATAGAATAGGAGAAGAGGACTCATTAAAGGTTTGAGGTGCCTTCCGTGAAAAGACTGAGCGCGGGGAATTTGGAGCCATTTTGCTCAGGAATTGCTTTTGTTTTGACAAACATTTCTTTTGAGAACTGAGATGCTTTCCTGCGCACTTCTGTGATGTCACGGAGGCCAGCCAATCAGTGCCACACGTATAATAAGGAGCCCCACACATTTGGAAAGCACATTTTCAGGATAGGTCAGTCCTGAAAACCTACTTTGCAGCGCTAGGGCCCTGGGACAGGAGATGTGCAACCAGGGCAGAATTGGGTTTGATGAGGCCCTCAGCTACTGAAGGTAATGGGGCCCTTTCTATGTCCAGCTGTCCTTTGTCAACAACAAATTGTCACTGTTTTTTGTGTGGAATATATGCTAGATGGTGATTTATGGACCTAATACGTATCGAAAGCCATTTGCACATAACAAAATATGCATTTTATCAAAGTAATTGTTGAACTGAAATACAATTAAGAAGAAATATATTAACAGTGAGATACAATTAAGAAGTATATTAATAGTGAAATAATTATTAAGCTCTAACTTAAAATGGTTTTTTATTCATAACAAACTTAATAATGCAAACACATTGGCATTTGGCAACAGCAAAAGTTCCTTTAGAAACACAATTTACAAAGACTCATAATCTAGTCTCTAGAAACTTGCTATAACATGAAATAATAATAGCAAACCAGTGATATTTGAGGGAGCAGGCTAGCAGGCGGGGCCCATGACTTACATCATAGGAGCCTACACAACACAAAACACTGTTGCTGTACGTAGGTTTTATCGTATTTGCTTTTTTATCTTATATTTTGGAAATGTTACATCCAGTTTTTTTTCCTTTAATTTTTTTGGGGGGCCCCCAAGAGAGTGGGGCCCTAAGCTAGAGCTTGTTTAGCTTATACATAAATCCGGCTCTGTGTGCATCCACAACTTGCAACCATCTGGAAGCAGGGCAAGGGCTTGCAGTTTATAAACCAAAACTCACCTCTTTCTGGCCAAAGTCAATGAGGTTCTGGAGGTCCAAGTCGTCCCGGTAATGCACGATGGCGTTGTTGACAATCTCGCTCACTTTCCCACGAGCCTGTAAGGAAATCGGAACAAGGCTATGGAGGGAGTTGCTCAGTCCCTGCTCCTGCCCACCTAGCAGTTCGAGAGCACATCAAAGTGCAAGTAGATAACTAGGTACCGCTCCGGTGGGAAGGTAAACGGCGTTTCCGTGCGCTGCTCTGGTTCGCCAGAAGCGGCTTAGTCCTGCTGGCCACATGAACCGGAAGCTGTACGCCAGCTCCCTCAGCCAGTAAAGCGAGATGAGCGCAAAACCCCAGAGTCGGCCACAACTGGACCTAACGGTCAGGGGTCCCTTTACCTTTACCTATGGTTTAGTAGTGTTTTAATGGGACGCGGGTAGCGCTGTGGGTTAAACCACAGAGCCTAAGACTTGCTGATCAGAAGGTCGGCGGTTCGAATCCCCACGATGGGGTGAGCTCCTGTTGCTCGGTCCCTGCTCCTGCCAACCTAGCAGCTCGAAAGCACGTCAAAGTGCAAGTAGATGAATAGGTACCACTCTGGCGGGAAGGTAAACGGCGTTTCCGTGCGCTGCTCTGGTTCGCCAGAAGCGGCTTAGTCATGCTGGCCACATGACCCGGAAGCTGTACGCCAGCTCCCTCAGCCAGTAAAGCGAGATGAGCGCCGCAACCCCAGAGTCGGCCACGACTGGACCTAATGGGCAGGGGTCCCTTTACACGAAAAAACGCAACCTGAAGTGTCTGTAACCCGAGGTATGACTGTACCACTGTTTTTAATTCTAACCCTGAACATGTCAAGTCCCGTTTCCCACCCCCTGAACACCCATCTCCAAAGGAGAAGCTTAGGGACATTCCAGGGAACAACACTGCCCACTTCATAATAATAATAATAATAATAATAATAATAATAATAATAATAAACTTCAGCGCCACACAAAACCTTCCAAGCCACCTTTCCACTCTCCCCCACCCAGAACAATCGCCTCTGTACCTTGTCAGAGAAGACGAACCCCAGGACGCCCGACGCCAGCTGCAGCAGGAAGATGACCGTCAGGCAGATAGAGAACTGCAGGGGAGAGAATCTCGTAAGTGAAGGGTCACAGAGCCAATGGCAGGTTAATGCTCAAGGGGGTGGGGCCAGATCCAAGGGCCTTCTGGCTGTTCCCTCCTTGCGAGAAGTGAGGTTACAGGGAAGCAGGCAGAGGGCCTTCTCGGTGGTGGCGCCCGCCCTGTGGAATCCCCTCCCACCAGATGTCAAAGAGAAAAATAACTACCAAACTTTTAGACTACATCTGAAGGCAGCCCTGCTTAGGGAAGTTTTTAATATTTGATGTTTGATCGTTTTGTTTTGTTTTTTAATTTTTATTGATTATTTTCACATATCAAATTATTGCAACAATGTATTTCCCCCCATTTCACCCCTCCCATCTCCCCCTGATACCCCTCCCTCCCCCCTACGACTACCCTCAGTTCCTCTTTCTGATTTATTAACACATATTATTCTCTGCATGTTATAAAAATGTAAATATCTCTGGTTTTAGAATGTATTTCTTTCTTTTTTCTTTTTTAAAGAATATTTATTCCAATTTTAAGATTACAGAAAAAGAAAAAAGTAAAAAAAGAAAAGCAAATCACATACATCCTACAAAAGACACACAGTACAAAGAAAAATACAAAAGACAAAAAATCACAATAAAAAAAAAATAACAAAAAATCAAATTAAGCCATTAGAACCGTTTTCCCATTTACTTATTTCCGTGACTTCCTCTCACTTCTCTGCTTTGTATTCTAATTTGAATCGTATCTCCAGCAAATCCTTCTAACCTTCTTTTCATTTATTTATTTTAACATTCGAAAGTATTTAATTCTCCTCTATCTTTATTTTACACTTCATATTTACTTATTCCATTATACTCTGTCAGCCAATACGGTCTAATATTCTTCTCCAACCTTTTCTAACATTCTTTTATATTACAGTATTTCTGAAGATATATTTTAATTTTTTTCCAATCTTCTTCCATCGACCCTTCTTCTTGATCTCGAATTCTGCCGGTCATCTCAGCCTGGTTTTAGAATGTATTTCAATTAAATGATTATGATTTTATGTAAACTGTGTTATTTTTACTGATGTTAGCCGCAATGAGCCCAGCTTCGGCTGGGGAGGGCGGGATATAAATGAAATTGTATTATTATTATTATTATTATTATTAATCCCAGACCCCTGTCAGGGGGCATTTTGCGGTGAGGGAGACCCGTCCATATTAACAAAGAAGGCCAAAAAATCACAGGGAACCAGGCAGAGGGCCTTCTTGGTGGTGGCACCCGCCCACCAGATGTCAAGGAAATAAACAACTACCTGACATTTGAAGACATCTGAAGGCAGCCGTGCTTAGGGAAGTTTAAAATGTTTGATGTTTTGTGGTGTTTTTAATATTCTGTTGGGAGCTGCCCAGAGTGGCTGGCGAAACCCAGCCAGATGGGTGGGGTACAAATAATAAATTATTGTTATTATTATTATTATTAGAATCCAAGCGCACACTTCCAGTGGCAAGGGCTCCCTTTGCTTAAGGATGCCCAGGCTGAAGGAAGTGTCTGATGCCAGCGCTACCCTGCCTTTGCCCAGGACGATGCCCAGGGGTTCTCACCGTCTGAAGCAAGCAGATGTTCTCCCGCAGGGAGCCGATGCAGCCGCAGAACGTGATGAAAAACATCAGGATGCCAACGACAATCAGCAGGATGGCCGGGTCCACAGCGAGGCAAGCCATGGCCGCTTCTGCAACGGGAAAGGAAGATCAGAGTCAAATGCAGGCATTTCCGTCCCGTCCCAACAGCTTCTCCCTGCTAGCTATGGCTAAGCGCACCTATCTGTTGCAGCGGGTTGGACTATGATTCTGTCCTCAACAGCAGTGTTTTGTGCTTCTTTTCATTTAAATGGCCAAAAGGCAGCATTAGCTGTCTGCTTTTTTGAGCAAAACAGCAACAAACCTCTGGTTACGTGAACCATATTCAATAAACACACAAGACGTAATTGGCTGTACGTTTGGAAAAATAAGATATACTATTCATTGTGTTGTAGATTTTATATATATATATATATAACTTTTTTATTAAGTAATTCAACAAAACATATTACAATGGTACCTCGGGTTACATACACTTCAGGTTACATACGCTTCAGGTTACAGACTCTGCTAACCCAGAAATAGTGCTTCAGGTTAAGAACTTTGCTTCAGGTTGAGAACAGAAATCGTGTGGTGGTGGCAGCGGGAGGCCCCATTAGCTAAAGCGGTGCTTCAGGTTAAGAAAAGTTTCAGGTTAAGTACAGACCTCCAGAATGAATTAAGTACTTAACCCGAGGTACCACTGCATCTTAAAACATATCATCCTTAATTTTTCCCTCATTCCCCCCCCCCCCGCATAAACACCACCACCCCGCGACTTCCCTCAGTTCCAATCTCTGATTTCTCTATAAATGCTATTCTCTGCATGTTACAGAACTGTATAAGTCCTTAATTTATATAACTAATTATTATCAATTTAAAAAATTGTGAGTGTTTATTCAAAGCCTGCCAAGGAGTCCAATTCACTTTGTTGCGTCTTTAGGTACTTTGTCAAAGGTTCCCATTCCTCTTTGAAGTGATAGTTATCCTTGTCCCGCAGTTTATGTGTCAGTTTTGCCAGTTCTGCATAGTCCATCAGTTTCTCTTGCCTTGAATTGTAGATTTCAACAGAAGTAGCTCATAAACGGAAAAAGTAGAAGACCCAGTGGATCCTTTCACAGTACAGTCATACCTCAGGATGAATACGATTCAGGTTGAGCGTTTTCGGGTTGTGCTCTGCGGCGACCCGGAAGTAACGGAACGTGTTTCTTCGGGGTTTCGCCGCTTGCGCATGCACAGATGCTCAAAATGACATCACGCGCATGCGCGGAAGCAGCAAAATTCGAACTGCACACGCGCAGTCGCGTCTTGCGTTCCTTTCAGGATGTGAACGGGGCTCCGGAACGGATCCTGTTCGCATCCAGAGGTACCACTGTAGTAGTAGTAGCTACTGCTATGCTATAAGATCCACTATCCTGTAACATTACATATGAACCTGGACTACTGAGGAAGCCTAGGATGGCGAAACAAGGCTAATATTCCGGAAATCCTTGTCTTAGACTCTGTGGAAGGATTCTGTAAAACTCTAACAAACTTTCGTGTGGATTGTTTGACTTTATGAACAGACAGGTGGAATAGACACTTTCACATATATGAACCTTATACGTAAATTGATTAGAGAATGAACTGATCCACTGGGTCTTCTACTTTTTCCGTTGAACTTTATGAGCTACTTCTGTTGAAATCTACAATTCAATACAATGAATAGTGTATCTTATTTTTTCAAACGTACAGCCGGTTACGTCTTGTGTGTTTATTGAGTCTCCTTTTTTGAGGCAAGAACGCTGAGCGCTTGGGAATAATGCAGGAGGAATTTCAGGGGTGCAGCCACAATTTAAATCCCAAGGTGGTCATTTTCCAGCTTTCCTCGCATGAGTGAGCTAGTTTCACTCCTCTGCTGACCTGAAAAAGCAAGTTTACTCCCTCACAGAGCTAGCATCAACAGCACCTTTAGCAAACTAAAGTTCCTGGGATTCTTGGGGGTGGGGGGGAACCAACTGTTATTAAATTTATGGGGTGTTCGCAGCCTTGAAAAACAGAAAATGCACTAAAACAGCAGGTCCCAGTTCTTACTGGGCTACTGTCTGCTTGGTTCCATAAACTCATCCCCAGTGCCTGCTACCCTACGGTATAAAAAGCATTATTCAGAATAGCAGTTTGTATGGCCCACTGAGGAAAACATAACAATGATTCAAAATCTAATTAAAAGTATGTAGTTTAATTAACTCGACAAAATGGATGAACTTGTTCCAGTGAGGCCAGATATTGCAAGGAGAACATTTCCATGCATTCATGTCGATGAAAAGTACTACAGTCGTACCTTGGAAGTCGAACGGAATCCGTTCTGGAAGTCCGTTTGACTTCCAAAACGTTTGGAAACCAAAGCGTGGCTTTTGATTGGCTGCAGGAAGCTCCTGCAGCCAATGGGAAGCCGTGGAAGCCACATCGGACGTTCGGCTTTAAAAAAAAATGTCAAAAACTGGAACACTCACTTCTGGGTTTTGATCATTTGGGAGCCAATGCGTTTGAGATCCAACGTAAAACAAGGAAGGAAGTCTGGGCGTGAATATACGCAGTGTAAATAAGATGACATAAAATGATGACTGTAAAAGATTGTTTTATTTTTGTTTGTGAAAAATTTAATAAAAAGCAATAAAAAGAAAGAAAGAAGTGGAACGAGATCCAACGTACAACTATACTTACTAAACACCCACCAACTTTCATCGATCACAGGCATAGGGTGACTAGTTTATGAGAAAATCAATAGCTATTACCAATAGCTATAACTGGTTATTTGGGGAAAACTTGGAATCATAAACACAGTGGTACAGTACCTCAGGTTACATATGCTTCAGGTTACAGACTCCGCTAACCCAGAAATAGTACCTCGGATTAAGAACTTTGCTTCAGGATGAGAACAGAAATTGTGCTCTGGCGGCAGCAGGAGGCCCCATTAGCTAAAGTGGTACCTCAGGTTATGAACAGTTTCAGGTTAAGAACGGACCTCCAGAATGAATTAAGTTCTTAACCCGAGGTACCACTGTACAAAGGAAATACAAAGGAAATAGCTTTGAAAGCGAAAAGAACGATACAGTAGTACCTCTGGTTGCAAACGGGATCCGTTCCGGAGCCCCGTTCACAACCTGAAAGGAACGCAACCCACATCTGTGCACGTGCGGGTTGTGATTGTCTGCTTCTGCGCATGACGTCATTTTGCGCATCTGCGCATGTGTGAGTGGCGAAACCCGGAAGTAACCCTTTCCGGTACTTCCAGGTCACCGTGGGACACAAAAAACATATCAGGAAGCAAATGCAACATGAGGTATGACTGTAAAGCTTGAAAAGCGAAGCGAGGAAGGTGTTTCAAGTAAGCAAACGACACACTCGAAGGGCTGACCTCCGGTGCCCATCTGTTTCTTATTGCCACCCACTTCGGGAAGCATGGCCCAACAGTTTCGAGTCCATCAACCCTTGCTTGGCACACTGCTTGTGCTCCTTACCTGCGTGCTTCATCAAGCGGGCATAGACTCCCACTGCCACCATCGCCATGGAGATCACCTGCCAAGACAAAAAGGCCCAGAGTGTCAAGAGCGCCAGGCCAGAGTCTTCTTAAGCCTCGGCTTCATCCCAGTATACCTGAAGGAGCGTCTCCACCCCCATCGTTCAGCCCGGACACTGAGGTCAAGCTCCGAGGGCCTTCTGGCGGTTCCCTCCCTGCGAGAAGCCAAGTTACAGGGAACCAGGCAGAGGGCCTTCTTGGTGGTGGCGCCTGCCCTGTGGAATGCCCTCCCATCAGATGTCAAAGAAAAGAACAACTAGCAGACTTTTAGAAGACATCTGAAGGCAGCCCTGTTTAGGGAAGCTTTTAATGTTTAATAGACTACTGTATTTTAATACTTTGTTGGAAGCTGCCCAGAGTGGCTGGGGAAACCCAGCCAGATGGGCGGGGTATAAATAATAAATTATTATTATTATTATTATTATTAAACAAAAGCACACATTCTACTCATGTAAAAACACCAGGCAAGCCCCACAAGTAACCCAGAGATGCATTTTAAAAACAACAACACATTCTACTCATGTAAGAGAAGAGCGCAAAATATGGTCTGAAGCTCAACATCAAAAAAACTAAGATCATGGCCACTGGGCCCATCACCTCCTGGCAAACGGAAGGGGAAGAACTGGAGGCAGTGAGAGCAGTCACGAAATTAAAAGACGCCTGCTTCTTGGGAGAAAAGCTATGACAAACCTAGACAGCATCTTAAAAGGCAGAGACATCACCTTGCCAACAAAGGTCCCTATAGTTAAAGCTCTGGCTTTCCCAGTAGTGATGTATGGAAGTGAGAGCTGGACCATAAAGAAGGCTGATCGCTTAAGGAATTGATGCTTTTGAATTCTGGAGCTGGAGGAGACTCCTGAGAATCCCATGGACTGCAAGAAGAACAAACCGATCCATTCTGAAGGAAATCAGCCCTGAGCACTCCCTGGAAGGACAGATCCTGAAGCTGAGGCTCCAAGACTTTGGCCACCTCATGAGAAGAGAAGACTCCCTGGAAAAGACCCTGATGTTGGGAAAGATGGAGGGCACAAGGAGAAGGGGACGAAAGAGGACGAGATGGTGGGACAGTGTTCTCGAAGCTACAAAGATGAGTTTGACCAAACTGCAGGAGGCGGTGGAAGACAGGAGTGCCTGGCGTGCTCTGGTCCAGGGGGTCACGAAGAGTCGGACACGACTAAACGACTAAACAACAACAACAACACTCATGTAAAAGCACACTGATTCCCGGACCGTCCTCAGGCCAGATTTAGAAGGCGATTGGGCTGCATCCGGCCCCTGGGCCTTAGTTTGCCTACCCTCCCTGCTCACCAGGTACCGGCTGCTGAATAGCATCACTCTGGCACCCAAAATGCAGCCTGCCCTTTTCAGAAATCCTTTCCTCCTTCCTTGCAGCAGCAAAGGGATCATTTGTCAAGAGTCACCTTTTTTCCCTCCTGGCATTGAAATGCGTGGGATTTGAAAGCATTGGTGCTTAAGTGGCTGCAATTAGCTCCTGCAATGGTATTGACACCTGGGGGGGAGCTCTCTTTGGAGGAGGAGGGCAGGAAAGAAAAGAGGGGTGGAGAAAGAGAAAGAGAGAGAAGGAAGGAAAAACCCTTGGCACAAACTGCTTTCCTTTTCTTCTTACAGCCTCATTCAGCTGAGCCAGGGTTAAGTCATGCATAACAGAACTTTGTGGGCTTTTGCTACTTCAACTCGTGCACAACCACTCATTCCATGTGCCTGTTTTATGGTTCCATTTCCCATTTTTTAAAAAACAGGGCTGCCTTCAGATGTCTTTAAATGTCAGGTAGTTGTCTATCTCTGGCTAAAATGCAGGTAAAAATACAGCAATAATAATTTTATTTATAAGGACAGATCCTGAAGCTGAGGCTCCAAGACTTTGGCCACCTCATGAGAAGAGAAGACTCTCTGGAAAAGACCCTGATGTTGGGAACAATGGAGGGCACAAGGAGAAGGGGACGACAGAGGACGAGATGGTGGGACAGTGTTCTCGAAGCTACCAGCATGAGTCTGACCAAACTGCGGGAGGCAGTGGAAGACAGGAGTGCCTGGCGTGCTCTGGTCCAGGGGGTCACGAAGAGTCGGACACGACTAAATGACTAAACAACAACAACAATTTTATTTATACCCCAGCCAGAGCCGGGCTCAGGGCGGCTAACACCAGTAAAATTACAGTAAAAACATAATGGGGGGGAGGGAACCAATTTAAAATACAGGTTAAAATGCAATTTAAATGCAGCCTCTTTTTAAAAGTAGCCCATGGATCAAGACCATAAGCAGAGGGAAACATAAGGGTCAGACTGAGTCCAAACCAAAGGCCAGGCGGAACAGCTCTGTCTTGCAGGCTCTGCGGAAAGATGTCAAGTCCTGCAGGGCCCTGGTCTCTTGTGACAGAGCGTTCCACCAAGTCGGGGCCAGTACTGAAAAGGCCCTGGCCCTAGTTGAGACCAATCTAAGCACCTTGTGGCTTGGGACTTCCAAAGGGTTGTCATTTGTGGACCTTAAGGTCCTCCGCGGGGCATACTGGGAGAGGCGGTCCCGCAGGTACGAGGGTCCTAGGCCGCATAGGGCTTTAAGGTCAAAACCAGCACCTTAAACCTGACCCTATACTCCACCGGGAGCCAGCGCAGTTGGTAAAGCACTGGGTGAATGTGATCCCATGGTGAGGACCCTGTAAGGAGCCTCGCCGCGGCATTCTGCACCCGCTGGAGTTTCTGGGTCAGCTTCAAGGGCAGCCCCGCGTAGAGCAAGTTACAATAATCAAGCCTGGAGGTGACGGTCGTGTGGATCACTGTGGCCAGATCAGGGCGAGAGAGGTAAGGGACTAACTGCTTAATACGGCGGCGATGGAAATATGCCACATGTTCAAATCCGAGGTCATCCACAATTCCGCTTGCTCCCACCCCTTTCCCTTGGAAAAGACTGTTTTTTACCTCTGAATCGGAGCAAACGCTAATTGGGTTTTCTGTGGATGGGCCTTTGCCTGGAGGAAGCAACAAGGCAAACAGAAAACTGCTTTCAGTACCTAGAAGATGCGAGACATGTGGGAAAACTCTCTGGCCTGTGCTTCCTAGCAATCTGTGGACGGTTCCTCAGTTTTGTGGCCATGCATTCTTCCTTTGCATTCATCAGTTGTTTCCTCATTTTTTAAAACGACAACAGCAAGAACATGCCCCACTTTCACCCTCCTCCTACAGGTCTTGCCAAACGTATCCCGTCACCAGGCTGAAATCCTACGAGCACAGGTGAGATATGATCATGAAACTCAGTTGGCGCAGGAAGTATCCAGTTCCCCGCTTCCATCCATTACTTGCACAATTGAGATCTTCCTCCCCAAATCTGCTCCGGAGGGTTGGAAAAAGCCCTAGCACAGATTTTAAGGGGTACGCAGGTGGCAAAGGGGGACAGGACTTCTCTGCGCAAGCAGAAATCCTTGTGTTGACAGCACATTCTCGTAGGGCTATTTTTTGGACAAGACCCTGCAACAGTCGCTTTCCGATGTTAGTTTTGCCACGTTAAAAAAATAAAGATGCAATTTTCACATTTTTAAAAAGGAATCGTTTCATTCTAAGTGTGCGTGCCTCCTGCGCCAGGTTTCCGTCTGTGAATCTGGTGAAAAACATACAGACTGAACATAGAACAGGGGTCAGCAGGGGGCCAGTCCACTGTCCCTCAAACCTTGTGGCGGGGCTGGACTAAATTTTGGAAAAATAATAATGAACAAATTCCTATGCCCCAGAGATGCATTTTAAACAAAAACACACATTCGACTTATGTAAAAACACTAGGCAGGCCCCACAAATAACCCAGAGATGCATTTTAAAGAAAAGAACACATTCGACTCATATAAAAACACGCTGATTCCCAGACCGTCCGCGGGCCGGATTGAGAAGGCGATTGGACCGCTACGCATGCCATAGAACCTTCCTCCAAAGGTAAATAAAGGATGCAGGAAACAATGGCTGAAGGAACAACGATCCACGTCTGGGGGAGTTGTGAAAAGATTAAAATCTTCTGGGGCATAATACACGATGAGTTAAAGAAAATGCTCAAGATCGTCATAGGAAAAAAACCTGAGGCCTATTTATTGGGCATAATAGGGAATGATGTTCCACAGAACAAGAAAAGAATCTTTTTCTACGCTACAGTAAAGGTAAAGGTAAAGGATTGTTAGGTCCAGTTGTGGCCGACTCTGGGGTTGCAGCGCTCATCTCGCTTTACTGGCCAAGGGAGCCGGTGTACAGCTTCCGAGTCATGTGGCCAGCATGACTAAGCCGCTTCTGGTGAAACCAGAGCAGCACACGGAAACGCTGTTTACCTTCCCGCCAAAGTGGTACCTATTTATCTACTTGCACTTTGACATGCTTTCGAACTGCTAGGTTGGCAGGAGCTGGGACCGAGCAACGGGAGCTCACCCCGTTGCGGGGATTCGAACCGCCAACCTGATCGGCAAGCCCAAGAGGCTCTGCGGTTTAGACCACAGCGCCACTACAGTAGCCCCCAGAATAGTCCTATCCAGCAAATGGAAAGGTGAGACAGTACCCTCTAAAGAAGAATGGATTTATAAATTAAGCGAATACACAGAGTTGGCAAAACTAACAGCAGCCATAAGATCTCAGACAAATCAAAAACTAAAATTGGAATGGAAACGCTTTGAAGAATGCATGCGAAATTGCTGTTCTAAAAAGAATATGTTAATATGCATAGACTGAATATGTAAAGTGGTTGTGAGAACAAAAATATATGTTAGCATGAATAGATTAAGTATGTAAAGTAAAGGTGAGAATAAAAATTAGAAATGGTTGTAAGAGATGAAGATTTTGAGAAACGCAATGATAATAATTAAATTAAAAATTAAGGAAGTTGAGTCATGGTGGTGCGAAGTCACGGGGGGGGTAAGACGCCTTGTTTGGATTGTAGGAATTGTATGTAGCATATGTGTTTCTGTGTTATTTGTATGTTATTGTTCAATTTTATTTATTTATTTTTTTTAAAGGATGCAGGAAACCGACCGCCAACCAGCTACATTGTTTGTCACCCGGGTCATGTCCTCTCAGCTTCAAACTTAGCAAACAGAATAGTGAACAGACAGGAACTTGTCAGAAATGAACAGAGGTTCAAAGCAATGAAGGTGTTAAGACACACACTACTCCAGGAAGACAGCTCCCCTCTCCGTACAGTTACGTTGGTCCAAAATAGTGCTTAAACCCCTCATTTTCACCGGGTAGCTCACAGCTCCTATAGGACCCCTTCTTTGCTCTGCAACAATCAGTTCTGTGCTTCTCTGGACCAAGAAATGGGTGGGAGGTTTCTGCTGCCTGACAGGTATAGGATTTTGAGATGAGAGCTGAACTCTTGCAGAAAGCACAGCTTTCCAGGCAATGGTTTTGTGTTCCATTATATACCTGAAGGAGCGTCTCCACCCCCATCGTCCAGCCCGGACACTGAGGTCCAGCACCAAGGTCCTTCTGGCGGTTCCCTCATTGCGAGAAGCAAAGCTACAGGGAACCAGGCAGAGGGCCTTCTCGGTGGTGGCACCCACCCTGTGGAACGCCCTCCCAGCAGATGTCAAAGAGAAAAATAACTACCAAACTTTTAGAAGACATCTGAAGGCAGCCCTGTTCAGGGAAGCTTTTAATGTTTGATGCATTACTGTATTTTAATATTTTGTTGCAAGCAGCCCAGAGTGCCTGGGGAAGCCCAGCAAGATGGGCAGGGTATAAATAATAAATTATTATTATTATTATTAGGCTTCAAGGCCAGGTATAAAGGTAAAGGGTAAAGGGACCCCTGACCATTAGGTCCAGTTGCGGACGACTCTGGGGTTGCGGCGCTCATCTCGCTTTACTGGCCGAGGGAGCCGGCGTACAGCTTCCGGGTCATGTGGCCAGCAGGACTAAGCTGCTTCTGGCGAACCAGAGCAGCGCATGGAAACACTGTTTACCTTCCCGCCAGAGCGGTACCTATTTATCTACTTGCACTTTGACGCGCTTTCGAACTGCTAGGTTGGCAGGAGCAGGGACCGAGCAATGGGAGCTCACCCCGTCGCAGGGATTCGAACCACCAACCTTCTGATCGGCAAGTCCTAGGCTCAGGGGTTTAACCCACAGTGCCACCCGCATCAAGGTCAGGTATACCACCTCCTTTTTTATTGGGGGTGTTTTTGTGTGATTGGACCTGGACCCCTAGGAGTTGGCGCTTCTGCACATGGAGCATGGAGCAAGCTTGTTTTCTCCTGCTCTGGAGGGTAGGACTCGAACCCATGGCTTCAAGTTACAAGAAAGGAGATTCCGACTCAACATCAGGAAGGACTTTCTAACAGTAAGAGCTGTTCAATAGTGGAATGGATTCCCTTGGGATCTGGTGGATTCTTCTTCCTCCGAGGATTTTAAACAGAGGTTCGACGGCCATCTCTCATGGAGTCTTCAGCTGGGATTCCTGAATTGCAAAGAGTTGGACTAGATAGATGAGCCTTAGGGGGTCTCTTCCAACTCTACAATTCTTCTTTTGGGGTGAGTGCAGTGGCAAATTGTTACGCTCAGTCCTCAGGCTTGGGTAGCTAGAGACTCTTTTACTCTATTAAGACGGTGTGTTTGTGATGTTTGATTTTCTGCCCGCAGATACAGGTAGAACTTGCTTTCCTGAAGAAGGACCAATATACTGTCTCATTTCATGTTCTAAACAAACTTCATTTATTTCCTGGTGTGTGAAACTTCCTTAAAGTCAAAGGTAAGCACTACTCAGAGATGAGTTCCCAGCACTCCCTCAGTAGTCCTACACAGTATTGTAAAGGAAGTTTTTGTGGGGCCACAAGGCTGTTTTTTGGTGTTGTTGTTGTTGTTGATAATAATTTATACCCTGCCCATCTGGCTGGGCTTCCCCAGCCACTCTGGGCGGCTTCCAACAAAATGTTAAAATACAGTAATACATCAAACATTAAAAGCTTCCCTGAATAGGGCTGCCTTCAGATGTCGTCTGGTAGTTGCTGTTCTCTTTGACATCGGGTGGGAGGGCGTTCCACAGGGCAGGCGCCACCACCAAGAAGGCCCTCTGCCTGGTTCCCTGTAACTTCACTTCTTGCAGGGAGGGAACCGCCAGAAGGCCCTCAGAGCTGGACCTCAGTGTCTGGGCTGAACAATGGGAGTGCAGACGCTCCTTCGGGTATACAGGACCGAGGCCATTTAGGACTTGAAAGGTCAGCACCAACACTTTGAATTGTGCTCGGAAACGTACTGGGAGCCAATGCAGATCTCTCAGGACCCGTGTTATGTGGTCTCAGCGGCCGCTCCCAGTCACCAGTCTAGCTGCCGCATTTTGGATTAGTTGTAGTTTCCGGGTCACCTTCAAAGGTAGCCCCACGTAGAGCGCATTGCAGTAGTCCAAGCGGGAGATAACCAGAGCATGCACCACTCTGGCGAGACAGGCTGCGGGCAGGGAGGGTCTCATCCTGCGTACCAGATGGAGCTGGTAAACAGCTGCCCTGGACACAGAACTGACCTGTGCCTCCATGGATAGCTGTGAGTCCAAAATGACTCCCAGGCTGCGCACCTGGTCCTTCAGGAGCACAGTTGCCCCATTCAGGACCAGGGAGTCCTCCACACCAGCCCGCCTCCTGTCCCCCCAAAACAGTACTTCTGTCTTGTCAGGATTCAACCTCAATCTACTCACACAGGAACAGAAACACACAATGAGTAGAATGGTTTTATAACGCATATTAGTATTTTCCCCAAACTGAGTCTCCAGCTGCTTTTTCTGGACTACAATTCCCATCATTCCTGACCACTGGTATTGCTAGCTAGGGATGATGGGAGTTGTAGTCCAAAAAAACCAAGAACAGCTGGAGACCCAAGTTGGGGAAACAAAGATGTACGTAAAACAGACAATTCGAACAACAAGCAAAAATTTAAAGATGGAAAACAAAACTGTAAAACAGGCGTATGGAAGGAGTAGTTGCACACGGGCGAAAATAACAATGTGGTTCATGCCTGATGTTTGTGGACTACAGCTCCCATCAGCCCCAGCCAGTAATGCCAATGGGCAGGGATGATGGGAGTTGTAGTTCTGCGCCATCTAGAGGACACCATTTTGGCTGCTGAGCTAATACCATGTGGCAGACAGGAGCTCTCCATGTGGTCCCAGTTCCCATCACCAGCTGCCCCCATTGCCTTTGAACTGGGAGGTGCTGGGGACCTTCTGGCCAGAAAGCCAGCGAGCTACGGATGAGCAGGCCATTTATTTATTCCAATAAATTTATTTATTCCAATAAATAAAAGCCGAGGAGAGTTTCAGGAATGGGGGAATCGGCTGGCGCTGACCAGAGCGCCTGAACGAAATTACCGCGCTCACCTAAAAGCTGATTACAGCCTCTGGGAGCAATTACAAGCGCTTCGGTAATTGCCTATCCCCATACAGAGGCAGATGAACCGGTTAACTAAGGATTTAAATTAAAACCAATCCAGGATAAAGAGGCCTTCTAATGGAAACAGTTAATTGGACAAAGTGGCCAGAAGGTCAGGATGAGATGCCGAAGGCAGGTGGCGAGGAAAAGCTTGCGCTCAAATTGGAATTAATGGAGACCGTACAACCAGAGTTTTCTAGAGAAAAAAACACTCTGCAGTGCATTACACTGAAAGCGCTTCCAAATTTTTGATATCTGGAGCAAAGCGCAAAGCCCACACCTAATTTTTTTAAAAGTCCATTTATTCCAATGGGTCTACTCTGAGTTTGACTAAAGGTCGAAAGTAACCTTTTCACATCATGTGAGTTTTGGATTTATATCCTGCTTTGTTGCCAAAGGGACGCGGGTGGCGCTGTGGGTTAAACCACAGAGCCTAGGACTTGCTGATCAGAAGGTTGGCGGTTCGAATCCCCGCGACGGGGTGAGCTCCCGTTGCTCGGTCCCTGCTCCTGCCAACCTAGCAGTTCAAAAGCACACCAGTGCAAGTAGATAAATAGGTACCACTTTGGCGGGAAGGTACACAGCGTTTCCGTGTGCTGCTCTGGTTCTCCAGAAGCAGCTTAGTCATGCTGGCCACATGACCACCGGGTCCCTCGGCCAATAAAGCGAGATGAGCGCCGCAACCCCAGAGTCGGCCACGACTGGACCTAATGGTCAGGGGTCCCTTTACCTTTACCTTGTGGCCATTTAGATTTATATCACAATTTGATGGCAAAGCTTCAAGGAGTCTAATAAGGGCGAAATGCAACAGATTACACTAGATATTATTATTATTTTATAAAAAAATAAAATAAAAAGAGCCAAGAAAACTCGTGAGTGGGGGCTGGAATACCCCATAAAAGCCATTAAATTCTATTACAAGTTCAGAATGACAGTATATATCTCAATTAAGCAGCATGTATCTCAGTTAAGCAATGACAAACCTAGACAGCATCTTAAAAGGCAGAGACACCACCTTGCCAACAAAGGTCCTGAAGCTGAGGCTCCAAGACTTTGGCCACCTCATGAGAAGAGAAGACTCCCTGGAAAAGACCCTGATGTTGGGAAAGATGGAGGGCACAAGGAGAAGGGACGACAGAGGACGAGATGGTGGGACAGTGTTCTCGAAGCTACCAGCATGAGTTTGACCAAACTGTGGGAGGCAGTGGAAGACAGGAGGGCCTGGCATGCTCTGGTCCAGGGGGTCACGAAGAGTCAGACACGACTAAACAACAACAAATCTCAATTAAGACACCTGGTGAACACGAATTTGAGAAGACATTCCCCCTCGAGCTTGGAAATCACTGCAATAACATCAGATTGTCCTTTTTCACCCCTATTACCGACTCCAGGGGCACCGCAGTGCGTTCACACGAGACTCTTAATGGAGGCGAAGCAACAGAGCAATTATTGTGCTCTCTCTCTCTTTCAAAGGCAAAAGCTGAACCCACGCATTCCATTCGACGCACCACCCCTGGACCAGCCCATACACGTGTATGCACATCCTCACGTGCCTAAGGGCCCCGAAGGAGACGGCAGAGACCCCCCCTCCCATTTTGCACGCAGATGGTTCCGGGCTCAATTTAGCCCCGGTCTCAATGCCACCTCTTCACGAGTAGAGCCGGGAATTGCCCCCCCCCCAGCCCTCCCTGCAGACCCGCTGCTGCCAGCCAGGGCAGGCAACGCTGAACCAGGTGGGCCAGCGGGTCCGAGCCGTGCGAGTTTAACCCTCCCGTTGCCGCGCTCACCCAGAAAACCATGTTGAAGAAGAACAGCAGGTATTTGACCAGGGGGCTGACGAAGGAGAAGTCTTCCCCCTGGGGGGCACACGAGCCCCCCACCAGCCTCTGGGCCATGGCTGCGGCCCTATCGCCCAGGTTGCTGGTCGCGCAGGGCCATCCTGGCCGAACCCGCACCGATCCTGGCTCGACGGCTGATCATTAACCCGAAATTCCACCAGCTCCAGTTTTTGCAGCCCAGCAAGGTTCGCCCCGCCCCCCTCCTCGCCCATTGGCTGCGCCCGCCGCCCCCTCCCTTCCTATTGGCCTCTCTCCCGCTCACTCGCTTCTTTCTGCGTTCTTAGAACGTTGTGTATCGTTTTTTCCCCGAAGCGCCACCTGTTTAAAGTCCAGCGGAGAGAGGCTCTTAAAGGGGCCGCGCCCCGGGTCGCGCGTCAAGGGTACGCGGGTTCAGACGCGCATGCGTACACGGGTGTCGGCTTTTTTCTTTTTTTATTATTGTTAAAGATTTTCTTGTTTTACAAAAGTGTTTGCCATCTCTCGCTTGTATTTTCTTTTTCCATGTATCATTTTTACAAATCAGTTTCATTTGTTGAGACATTGGGAAGAAAAGGGGGAAAGGGGTGGAGGGAGGGAAGGATGGGTGGGGGTGGGGGTGGGCGACGGTGTTGGGTGTCGGTTTTTTTTATTTGCAAAAATGTCTGCGCTGCCACTGTGAAAAGCGCGTGAGGGATATGCAACGGCGGTGGACAGCATGAAATTAGCAAGCAGGTTCATCAGATTCGTAGGGAAACCAAAATGCTTGTTAACAAAGCTATTGCACTACCAACCTTACTGTACGCTTGTGAAACATGGAGCACTTACAGTGAGGGGGGGGGAAAGTATTTGATCCCCTGCTAAATTTGCCCTCTGACGAAAAAATGACCAGTCCATAATTTTAATGGTAGGTTTATTGTAGCTGTGAAAGACAGAATAACAACAGGAAAAACCCCAGAAACCCAAAAGACAAAAGTCAGAGATTGATGTGCATTATAATGAGTGAAATAAGTATTTGATCCCCTGTCAACCAGCCAGATGTCAGGCTACCTGGTATCTTCACTGTATGTAAGAAGCTGAGATTAGAATCACCTGCTGTAAGGGAGAGGGCTTACCTGTGATCCCAGCTCCTTACAGTACCTGCACAAAAGACACCTGTCGACAGAAGCAATCAGTCCAGCAGATTCCAAAGTCTCCGAAATTTTTTACACATCAATTGGGAAGACAGGTGAACTAATACCAGTGTACTGGAAGAAGCAAAGATCACCGGTGTCGAAGCAATGATTCTTCAACATCAACTTCGTTTGACTGGTCATGTTGTGCAGATGCCTGATCATCGTCTTCCAAAGCAACTACAGTGGTACCTCGGGTTAAATACTTAATTTGTTCCGGAGGTCCGTACTTAACCTGAAACTGTTCTTAACCTGAAGCACCACTTTAGCTAATGGGGCCTCCCGCTGCTGCCGCGCCGCCGGAGCACAATTTCTGTTCTCATCCTGAAGCAAAGTTCTTAACCCGAGGTAATATTTCTGGGTTAGCGGAGTCTGTAACCTGAAGCGTCTGTAACCCGAGGTACCACTGTACTCTACTCCGAACTTAAAAATGGAAAGTGTAATGCTGGTGGTCAGCAAAAGAGGTTTAAAAACTCTCTCAAGGCAAATCTTAAAAAAATGTAGTATAAACACTGACAATTGGGAAACTCTGGCCTGTGAGCGCTCCAGTTGGAGAACAGCCTTGACCAAAGGTGTCATGGACTTTGAAGACACTCGAACTCAGGACACAAGGGAGAAACGTGCTAAGAAGAAGGCATGCTTGGCAAATCCACACCGGGATCAACTCCCGCCCAGAAACCTATGTCCCCACTGTGGAAGGACGTGTGGAGCCAGAATTGGCCTCCACAGTCACTTACGGACTCATTGTTAAAACCGTGTTTATGGAAGACAATCTTACTCGGCTGCGAGTGATCGCCGAAGCAGCAGCAGCAGCTTATTGATGCGACAACAGCATCATACAATAGAAATAATCATCATAATAAAATAATAAATACAGCAACATATCTGGGTCCCCCATCAGGAAAAATGGCGGGTGAAGAAATTTAAAGCAAGCACGTAAATGCTACCATTTGGAGGTGCCTTTTCCTCGCCAACCAAGCGCCCTCCAGATGCTTTGAACTACAACTCACAGTGTCCTCAGCATGCTCTAAAGCAGCTCTGGCCAATGCTGAGGACGATGGGAGTTGTAGTCCGCAACGTCTGATGGGGACCAGGCGGCGAAGGCTGTTTTAGAGCATGCCTTTCCCCCTGTGGTCTAAACCACAGAACCTAGGACTTGCCGATCAGAAGGTTGGCGGTTCGAATCCCCACGACAGGGTGAGTTACCGTTGCTCGGTCCCTGCTCCTGCCCACCTAGCAGTTCAAAAGCACCTCAAAGTGCAAGTAGATAAATAGGTACCACTCCAGCGGGAAGGTAAACGGCATTTCCGTGCGCTGCTCTGGTTCGCTAGAAGCGGCTTAGTCAAGCTGGCCACATGACCCGGAAGCTGTACGCCGGCTCCCTTGGCCAATAAAACGAGATGAGCGCCGCAACCCCAGAGTCGGTTGTTTTTAATCGTTACGTTAGGCGCCTCAACCGTTTCGGGGGAAGGTAAAGATAAAGGGACCCCTGACCATTAGGTCCAGTCGTGGCCGACTCTGGGGTTGCGGTGCTCATCTCGCTTTATTGGCCGAGGGAGCCGGCGTACAGCTTCCAGGTCATGTGGCCAGCTTGACTAAGCCGCTTCTGGCGAACCAGAGCAGCGCACGGAAATGCCGTTTACCTTCCCGCTGGAGCGGTACCTATTTATCTACTTGCACTTTGACGTGCTTTCGAACTGCTAGGTTGGCAGGAGCAGGGACTGAGCAACGGGAGCTCACCCCGTCGCGGGGATTCGAACCACTGACCTTCTGATCGGCAAGTCCTAGGCTCTGTGGTTTAACCCACAGCGCCACCCACGTCCCTTACTACTCCTGTGTACAGTGCTGCAATTCTCGAATACCTCACTGCTGAGGTTTTGGAATATCATCAATACAGAACAACAAACCCCTGTGTTGCAAACTTAACACAACAAACAATAAAAGCAACACAAAGACCAGTATACTAGATAGTGCTGCAATTCTTATTGCATGATATACATGATTTAGTACAACGAAAACAAAATGTGTACACTTGTAAATTCTCTAATATATTTGAAATCAAATGAACACATGTCTGTCAATGTTTGAAAGTCCGTAGAAGTATAATAAGTCTATAGTTGAAACAAAGTAATAGATGCTATCCTGTGGGCTAAGCGGTAAAACTTTTTTTAGGAGTTCATGGTGCCAAAGTAGTAAGTACGGTAAATAACAACGTAGGACAGTGATCCCGGATAATCTGACTGTTTCTACTTGGCTACACAGAAGTACCTCGGGTTACATACGCTTCAGGTTACAGACTCCGCTAACCCAGAAATAGTACCTCACATTAAGAACTTTGCTTCAGGATGAGAACAGAAATCGTGCTCCAGCGGCACGGCAGCAGCAGGAGGCCCCATTAGCTAAAGTGGTGCTTCAGGTTAAGAACAGTTTCAGGTTAAGAACGGACCTCCGGAACGAATTAAGTACTTAACCTGAGGTACCACTGTAGAGAAGGGTGACCAGTTGTAATAGGAATTTTATGGTCTTAGATATATGGTAATGTTCATAACCGCACATACATAGATTAGCACAGGAAGGCCAACCTGGAACCATTTTGATTCCTAAACTGAGCAAATGTTTTCTCTGCAAGGTCAAACTGGAAAAGCCTCCCCATTGTCTTTTCCTTCACAAATCCTGTCTTAAGGACACATTTAAGATATGAATAGGGTGTGGGCCTGTGACCTGTCCCAGGAACTAAGTATTTATCATTACAAAAGACTGGCCAGGCTACCCAGGAAATCCAATCAAGTAACCTGCCAGACAGGAGATAAACAAGGACAAGAGATAACGACATTTAAATTTCTGTTTAGACCGCCTTTTTTGTGATGTATGTATGATGTTTCCGGGGGTGGTCTTGATCTACAGGATGGGAATTTCAAAAGTCTTTATAAGGCTTTGCACACCATTTTTCTGGGTCCTCCTCCTTTCCTGCGTGTGATGAGTGAGGACCCTGTTGCAACAGATCAATAAAAGATCAAGCTTACTAGCTGCTTTGCTTCTCAATATTCTCTGGTTGGCCTCTGTTATTCTCTCCTACCAATAGGGAACCTATGTAAGGACTCTATATGGGCTCTTGGATACCCCATTAGGGAAAAGGGCAATTTTTCGTTTACAACACAGTCTACCTTCAAAGCTATGATATTAGCGGAAAAGGCAACGATAGCTTTAGGTTGGAAAGATAGAGAAAAATGGACAGTAGCGGCATGGAATAGTTATTTGTTTGAACTTATTCAGTCAGACATTGTCGCAGTCGCGTCACAGGAAACAACGAGGAAGGTCAAGTCCACCATGATAAGGAACAGATCCCATCTTCAATGGATAAAAACTACTGGAACAAAAGACATTCGGTGGAAACTAAAGACGCTAGGCCCATAGCTGAGGATAATAGTTTGAACCCTTCCAATGGATATGGGGGTGGGGGAAGGGAGGGAAAGGAAAAAATTGTACGGGAAATTTAAAATTGGAAGGAGATAATATAATGTTTGTAAAAATCCCAAACTCGAATAAAACTTCAAAAAAGAAAGAAAGAAAGAAAGAAAGAAAGAAAGAAGAAAAGCACACAACAAATAAGAGAGATCTGTAGCAGCCGAATGAGAAGCATCTATATAAAACAGTGGAAGAAAGATTTCTCCACCAGCAGAGCACCTGTAGAGAAACCTGAAGGTCGCAGGTTCGATTCCTGACATTTCTAGCTAGGGCTTCTGGTCTGCAAGGGGTACTTAAAATAATAAAATCACGGTTACCTGCTCAGGTCTCCCCACTCTACCTGGTGTGCTAAGTAAACAGGGAAGGATGATCACTTATAGGGCAGCTTCATATTGTTCCACACAGCTCAATCTCTCACTGCTGAGAAGTTCCAGGAGTTCCAGCTTAGCTTAGTCATTAACCTATGGAACTACCTGCCTCAGGAGGAAGTGATGGCTACCAGCTGGAGATTCTCTGGTGCAAAGTGATGGTGTTTCTGTGACATAAAGTTCTGTTTTTAC